GTAGTTGAAACTAGCACTTGTTTATTTTCAATATTTTGATATTTGTATCGTTTTCACTATTCTTATACAATGAATTTAAAACGGCCATCACGAGACAATATTTCAATATTATATGAATTATTAAGCATAAATAAATAAATGAAAAGCATTGATGTAGAAGTCAATGAAAGCTTAAAGAAAGCTACTGATCAAATCCGGGAGGAGGTACTCAAGAGAACCGTAATGATTCGATAAATGAGTTCCGAATGCTGCTCTACAAATTTATTTACCAAGATAAAGTTTTCACAACAGCACTTGTTAAAATACGCCATAGATTATCTATATCCGAAAATGGGAAAAAAGCAAAACGACAAAGAAAAAGTTCTTTAAAATGATTAACATCTGTTCTCGACAACCTCAATATGGCGGCTGACCGATATAGTATCTCTATTCCTACAAAACAATGCATTCAAACGCCTTTATTCGCATTTGAATGCAGTTTAACTTGAGCTACCAATGGGTTTTGATGCATGATATTATTTTTCGTGTCTACAAAATAACATTTTTTTTTTTAGTATTTGAGCTTCACACCCGCCTTTTTACTCGCTTAACTTATACAACAAGAAACATATGCTTCTCCTTCAGACGACACCATTGTTACACAACAATGGCAATTCCCACACAGGCATTGAGATATAAAGTCACACAACAATGATCATTTTCTACAACCTTGCATAAAATTAGCTATTTTTTTATGTTGAAGAAGTGTCGAAATTGCCGTCGGATCTTATTACATCTGACTTAGAAATAAGGGAAACAATATTGATTGACTCGATCAAATACTGAATTATCAGATTTTGATTCAGATTTTCCTACATACACAACTTCCTTTCCTCCCGTTTTTTCCTCAATTTGCAACTCATAAATTCCATCATTCCCAGCAAAACAATCTAACTGTTCCATGTCGCTTTTTCTCCGACAATATCCATTACCACTCCTTCCTTTGTACAAGCCGTTTCCGTTCTTTCTTTTACACCACTTCATAGTAGTATAGAATTCAGACCATTTTCCTTCCCATTATTCAAAAAGATCTGAATTACTTGCCTCATTTCTTTTGATTTTCGGAGGAGCTATGGTATAACCAACAAATTTACGAAATCGAAACTATAAATCGTAACACGGATGAGCTCGCGTAGAAGTTTAGTTGGACTGAAGGTCAACAACAAATTTTATGAAATAAATAACGTGGCGTAGCTTCATTCTCGATAAATGTCTCGCAGTTGGGGTTTTATAGGCCATAGGGGATATCCCCGGGTGTACAGAACCCCATTTTTCTGGAATATTAAATAGAATATAGACGCGATATAGTACTTACTCCAATATTTAATACAGTGATTCCCAACCTTTTCAGGCGGCCAAAATTTAAAAACAAAGTTTTGTAATATCTCGAGAGCCAAAGATATTCTCAAGTACTAGGCGGTATGTAATGCTCATGCTAAAATTGTCAGATAATTAACCGACTGATAACAGAAGTGCAGTCGTGTTCTACGCACATGTGTAATTACTATTGAGCAACACTGAATACCAAATATAAAATGAAAAATGGAATTTACTAAAAAAATGAGTGACTTCTTGGTTTTTGTTGAACAAGTCACCCAGTGTGACCCAGTGTAGTAGAGTGTTCGATCTGTAGATATTCGTCTTTCGTAAAATATAGATTTGAATGAAATTTGTCAAAATCCTTTTAATGCATGATGGTTTTTTTTTTTATTTAAAATCCATTTACTTTACTGAATATAAATGTTTGTTTAATGCCTCATTATAACGCTCTGATTCTGGAACGCTCCATTCATTGATATACAATTACTTTGTTGAGAAAGTAAGTGAGATCGGAATGGCCAGTTCATACCGCACTGTCTGCAACCTTTTGAACTCAGCGTGCAATTTTATGAATAATGATCACCTTCGCGTGCCAAACATTTTTAGGTTTGGTTTGCATAGTCAACTACCTGATTTGAATAGTAAACGGATGAAAAACAAATTTATTTTATAAGATTACGTGCATGGAAATTAGCTTACTACTATCAAAATCGGAAATTTCCATTTCATTCTGAAACAGTCGCCGCGATTACGCGTTTATAAAAATGAGCAGACTTTTTCCGGGTATACCGTAAAATATTCAATTCAGGACAGCTACGGGAATCTATGAAATTTTCTTCTATATTGATATAATTGTGTCCAACGTAACTCGCGGTTCCGTCTTCTTGTGTCAAAATATAAACATTACTTGTCTAAAATACCGCTCAATCTGTTGGCGTATAAAAATATGAGATAGACATGCGTGATTGTATTTAGCGTGGATACTTTTTCGCGATCTTACGGGTTCGTTATCGCCGTTAGAAAAATCTCAAGATCTTTAATAAAAATCTCGTAGAGTACAATTAAATACATATGAAGTATATATATCAGTAAATCAAAAATACATATTTATCGCCTCAATATTCTCCGCGGAACGACTTTTACGACGGATAATAATTATTTTTCTGCTGTGTGAAGTAATCAATCCATGACCGGTACGGCCATATGTAAAATGTCTTGCTTTATTATAATTTAATTGTCTTCAATTTAACCCGCGTTTTCGTCGACAATATAGATCCGTATTTTTGCCATTTTGCGAATTCGACAAATCTAAGATGTACTTGCAACAATGACTCCGCTCTATCGCAATGCTGCCACTCAGATTATTTTTAAAATGAAACCGTTAAAAAAATTCCTAATTCTGCAATAAAATAAAATTTATTTTAGTACATTAAAAATTGATTGAATATATATTTACACTAATTACTAATCTCATATATCACCACGACTCGGGAAAAAATAGCGTTTCTAACCTTTAACATGAATCGTATGATATTAACACGAAAATAGACATACGAAAATGTGCAAGTTACAATGCCTAAAGAAGCATTTTTGATCTGTGGCGGGCCAACTACAACAAATTGTTTAGGGTTTTGTTTTTGATATTTAATATTGCCGCTGTTCGATGAAAAAATCTGCGTCGCCGTTTCACTCCTTATTGACTTAAGAAACTCGCCGCCAATTATTGTTCAATAACTCTCAACAGATTCACAATTCTGGACGAGTAGAAAAGTAAGTAATTGTTATCGTTGTCGTTAAATAACTTTTTGAATCAGGGAGAATAAACAACAACTTTAAAGTGTTTACAGCCTAACACGCCACGCTGCCAAAAAACAATCGCGATTTTATCAAAAAGCTGTACGAAAGTTGCCCGAAAGTATGAATTGATAATATAATATTCAATATTTCACGATTTTTGAATGGCAAAAAGTAACCCAGCAGTAGTATGAAAAGTTGCAAGTAGTTAAAGGAGTAGTTTTAAGTAGCGAAGCGTTTCGAAAGTAGCCAAAATCTGGCACCGTTGCACAGCACATGCTTATCTACACTGATTTCACGTACAGATTCGAGCTCTGATCCTAGTTTTTCCGAAAGAAGCGAAATGTGGCAACAACGTACCGCACATACTTAATTACACTGGTTTCCCGTACAGACTCCGGCCTTTCGTCGATTGCAGTTAAATATTGCATGTTTTTCAATGAATTTGTCGAATTGTTAATTTTTGTTCAAATGTAGAATGTTTATCGAACTACTAAAATAAATATCTGAATCTGCCTCAAATCACTTGGCGTGCCATCAGAAATCCTCTCGCGTGCCACAATTGGCACGCGTGCCAGGGGTTGCTGACCCCTGGTCTAGTGTATACATATCGCCAGGCCAATACCCGAATTGCCTAAGTCATTTTTGGCGGTTTTGAGTTTTTTTTATAAAATAGGTATTTATGTAATGTCTGTTAACTCAGATTTTATTTTAAGAATTTCGAAACCCATAAAAATGGAGATTTTGTATGACATGCACACTTGTGCAATTGTTTCGCCATAAGAAGTTATCATTGTGATCGCCAGACTATTGTGATATCACAAAGGAAAAATAACCTCGGCGAAGTATTTTCGAGTTTATGCATCTCAGATCCTAGCTTAGCCCTTATGAATGTGAATTAATACTACAGTATAGGAAGGCGTGCACTTGTGATATTCACTGTCTGAGTCCAATTCACCTTAGTTGGCTTCTATAATAGGGTTCATTGCTGTTTTATTCTTTATATTTAATCTTAGTCTTATTTCGGTGGGTGTGCAGAGCGTGTTATATTGATGAAATATATATTTCTAAACATAAAAAATAATGTAATTAAAAAAGATTAGCTATTTTGGGGATTAGACATCGTAGATACTGAGAATTACATGCGTTTTTCGAATGTTTGGTTTTCAGGACTGGTGCATATAGTCAAGTTGCAAAATTGCGTATGTCCCCAAGTCATAGACACATTTCTGCCTAAGTCACAGTGCGCCAGTATGACGTCACATAACTGCATCATACAAATTACCTTAAATCCGGCTACGATCAAAAAATTGACCATGGCAAATTTTTTGACTCTCAGCGGGCAGCGGCATCACAATATCACTAGGAAGTTTTTTACGTTTTTCTCAAAACTGCTAAAAATGACTTACGCGATTCGGTTATTAGCGTGACGATATTTAGTTATATATATATATATATACAGTAGTACACAATAACAACAATTGCATTTTTCTCACAATAAGATGCGGAGAACTCTATAACGGGACACCGGTTTAAAGTTTAGCGTTTGGACACTGGGCCTATAGGCAATAGGCAAAATTTCCAAAAGTCAAGTTATAATGGTGTTGTTTTGAACCAAGTTGTTATCAGCCTGTGTGTACATAACTGTCTTGCTGCGCCAATTGCACTAGATCAGAATAGGCACAGTTTGGTAGGTGACCATTTTCATATTTTTTTTGTGGTTTGATGGTTTACTAACACGTTAACTGTTAACGGAAGGGCCCCTTTGGTCTCCAACAATGAAGCTATTTTGTTCATTGTCGTGGTGATACAACGAACTTTAAAACTTTGAAAATACAACAAGCAAATATTCTGAATAAAATATTTATTTAAAACTTCAAAAAAAGTCACAATTACGATAGACAAATTTGAACTGCATGTGGTCAATTGAACAATGCGGCTCGTCCACTTATCTCACCGATCATTTTTTGACTTCTTAAAAAGTTTCAAATTAAATGAAAACATGATTTCTTGAATAATGTCTCCCCTGAAGTTGTGAAATTCATTTTTAACGTTCCTTTGTCTCCATATCGATTTCTAAAGTAAAAGCATATCATTTGGGATTAACTTACAGACAATAATCAACTATACTGAGTTCCGGGATTTCACAATGTGCATATTTTTCCAGAATAAAATGATTGTACCGAAAAACGCAACTTGTATCAAACGCATCCACTTAAAACTAACGATTGGTGAATATTTGCAATAAGGCATATGTTTAGTTATAACGATTATACTCGCTAAACTTTATGTGTAATCGGCAATTGGGACAGGGAAATTGGAAGTTTCTCCAATACTTTTCGAAAATTTATAGATTTAAAAAAATGATCAGATCTTATTTAATTGATTCACCAGGAATACATAAACGGAATGTATATTCAAATATACTATACGAAGTAAACTATGTCCACATATAAATGTGAGGTAGGTCTGCACGTATGGGGCACTTACCGTTGTTTAAGTCCATGATGTCGTCAAGCAGACGTTGCAGTAATTTGCCCTATTAATAAAAGAAATGATGTATTTATAAAAATCATGTTACTTTCACCAATATAATGTTGTTTAATGTGTAGATAGATGACTTTAGAGTGGCATAGGCCATAGACACACAAGCATTTCAAAAAGCAGGCGTAGTGACTCCAAATTGCGATCTACTGCTTTGTATTTTTCCGCTTTGAATATTTTGAATAGGTATACCGTACAGTTCCTTACACCGCATTCTGAGCGGGAAGTAATCAAGTTCCGGATGAATAGGCTAGAAGGCGAATAACCCAAAACGTCATGACAAATGTTACACCACGGAACTGAATTTCTAAAGACATTTTAAGAAGAACAGTTCACGGTTCTCAAAGAGATTAATGGGTCGTTGCATTTTACTCGATTTCGAGAAAACAATTTCTAAATTCCGAAAGTCTTATCGTGTTATATCGTGTTGTTTGGTGCTTTACAAAACTTTGTTGTCTAGAATTATTGAATGAACAGTTGATATAAAACAAACGTTAGAACTACCTCATCTCCGTATGCATGAACGGAAACTTTGTTGGATTTGATTTCACTCCTGAAAAAAAAAATGAATACACTTTAGTTCAAGTGTCGTTGAATTCAGATTTGAATAATATAGACTGGCAATAAAAATCTTCCGTTTAGTTCATCACAGTACTTTATATGAAGTATTAGAGAATAAACTAGTTTTGTGCTTTTTACAACAGCATTACTATACGACGACTTCAAATCGTAAAACATGTCAAAACATGACATTTTATGTCAGATAAGGTCAACTTTATATCTATTGCGAATTCGGCTCATGTTTTGTATAAAAAAAACAAATATTTGTGAGGTTTGAAATGATGTAACCCAGCGGTTTCCAAACTAATTTTGTTCGTGCGGCATCAAGTTATCGGGGAAAATCTCATGTCGCACCTCCAAATTGAACACAATTTTGTGATCGTTAATGTGTATTTTCTTCTTTTTGGAATTTGTAGGCATGCAGGCCTTAAGAATAAAGGCGGTGTCAACAAAACAACACAACGTCATAACAGTTACACTTATTCATCTAATGTGGGATGTGCGTCTGTTGCTCTAAACACATCTTTTCAAATCGCGGTGTTATAGTTGATATGCACACGCGCATTTTCTCAATATGTGCAAACGTGAATGTTATTTGGTTTTCATTGGCAACACTGATGAAAACCCAGCTTTGCTGAGATAGGAGGTTGCAAATGGCAAAAAACACACGCAGATCTCTTTCACACAATATTCTATCATATATGAGTTATGTTTAACACAATTCTGTTTATTTTCGGGGCGCATTTAGCAAATAATGCGCCACGGCGCCTCCCTTTGTGGATCTAATCTGCAATGCGAACAACGACATTGCATTACAAATTGTGTCTCGGTAAAAACCGAAGAAAAAAAAGGATTTACCAAAGTTTCCAGTACAAGGCTTGAAGCCTTGTCGACTCGGTCCTAATTCTGACTCCCAGATTGTAGAATGGTCTCAGTTGCGAAAGAAGTCTTGCTGTGGTAATTTTATAACTACTTCCTTCTTGAACAAAAGCTACAGCAAGCATCACAACCAGAATTGGTATTTTGAATTTCATTTTGAATCTGAAATGAGAATGGGTTTAGATTGTTTGTGTTTAAACAAAATTCCTAAATTTAAAAGGCTAGTTCTGATATATATTTCAACTTTATATTGTATACATATGAGGTAAAAACTTGTAATTGAAAAATATATATTAACATAAAACAAAAACTAATAAATTTGCCCCGTCAATGTTTTTATTTAAATTTTTTTTTTTATTAATTCGGGATCCTGATTGTTTGCGAACTCATTAAAACAATCGTGGTATTAATGATTTTATACGTTAAATATATATTATGTTATTACGGCAATGTCATAAATAAATGCAACTTGATGTTTTTAGTTTCGTGAAATGACAAATTTATAATTCTAAGCTTTTAGTTTTAATTTTAACCGGAATCATGAAAGAAAAAATAAACTTAATTCAAAAATGATAAAGTTGAATAAATATTCCTACCTCACCAACTCCAACAAGTGCTCTGCCAAACAATGACAAGGCTTGAATCCAACATTTCATCACGGACGTTATTATTTAAGCAAAGTCGTATGACCTTAATTGCGGAAATACATACTTCACCCATATGGCTTGGTAATGTACATGGATATGTGAGTATACTCTTGGAAATTTGGAGCAAATATTGCTTTTACTAGAATTTTTGAGTATTGAATGAAAGCGATAAAAAGCTGTCAATGGTATTACAAGTTATTACTTGAATTTTTCAGTTTTTAAAACAGTCCATGTTTAAATTTCTTTGTCATCGAATCGATTTTAACAGCTGATATAAAAATATAATCATTCTTGATGAATGAATACTCGGAAGATGAATTGTTAGAAACGTGTTATGCATTCGGATAATTCCTCCCATTTTAGGAAAAAACGACCAATTTTTGTGGCATTAAATACGGGAAGTTGATCGTTAAACTGCCAACACAATAGTGTACTGAATCTAATCTATAGGATCCAGCTTTACATTCATCCATTGTTTCACTCAGTTATCGTTTCTGATTTTTAATATGACTCCGTCGTTACCAGATGGAATACGTCTTTTGAAATTGTTGTATGATATTGTATTCAAAATTTAGCACCAGACTTTTGCGCATAATGGATAAATCTCAATTGTAATGAGAATGATAAGAATTTGTAATAAGAAATATCGAGAATTAAATTTCGAATTCTCAAAAACATTTTAATTTCACGGCAAAAATTAGATAAATATAAACAATTTTAAAGGAGTGCATCAGTATATATGTAATGACTGTCGATTAGGCATGTTGAAAGCAAATTCACGATGAAAAATCTTAGCACCTAAATCATATCAATTAATCTCATGTAGCTATCCCCACCTCAAAGGTTGACAACTATCACATGTTCAAATGTTCTTGTATGAAAATAGATTACATATATGTGTCTTTGATGTAAGGCATCGTCGAGGTGTGATTTGTCTGTTAATTATTTCAAGCAATGTTCATTTTGATGCATAACTGTTCTGATTCAATTCACACCCACAGCGACTACTGAATTGTGGGGTTATGTGTGAATGAGAAAAACGGTCAAGAACTTGTGAATGAAGACGTTCGCGTAGGTATATATTCGAGCATCATGTCTTCGAAAACATTAAACTAGAATACATCAGCAGTTCAGACAATCAAGAGCAAACAACCAACCAACAACAAAACAATGGTGAGAGCTTAATATAGCGTATATGACTGTTAACATAGAGTATTAGGATTACGTGACTACTCAAGATTATGAGATTAAGTGAATTATAAATTCGATTCGTTTACACGAATACCTGTTTCAAATATCATTCATTTACTTTTACTAATCACGATCTTGTTTTATTTCAGGCCGAATTCACTGAACAACAAGTTGAAGGTGAGTTAAAATGATATTATTTCAAATTATTTAACAGTGACAGTCACTAATGATGTAAGGAATCGGTTTAACCCAAAAGATAACAATTTGATTTGTTTATAGAGACATATTTAAACTATTTGTCACCATGGAAATATGTTTACAGATATTGTCGAAGCTTTCGAACTCTTCGACAAAGACGGAGATAACAAAATATACTACTACCAAGTTGGCGACGTAGTCAGAGCATTGGGAGAATGCCCAACCAATGAAGATGTTGAAAAATGCATGGAAAACCCGAGCAAAGAAGGTGGGGACCAAACACTTGTATACATATACCAATGAAATTTTCGAAAAATAGCTGTTTGGGGGAAAAGCTGCGTGGTGTCTCCTGCTTAGTCAAGTCGTCGATTGGCTTAAATAGTGTCTCACTTGTTAGGTTAAAGATATTCACAAAAGAAAATGTTTTTAAGAATTTCTTATTCTTTTTACATCATTTTTCTCATAACACATGAATAAAATATTGTCTCGAAATGGTTGATACTGTCAACAGCTCCATTCGAAACGGAATCATTTACAACCACGTATGTAGCACTCTAATGGTGTTTAAAGATACCCAATATAGCTTTGAATCACGCTCCAATAAAATGCAACAAAATGCTTTCATGTACACAGATATGAAAGCAAAAAAGCTCACAGTCGATGAATTTAAGCCAATCTTCACCAAAATCATAAACGATGCAGTGAAGGGAACTCAAGAAGATTTCATGGAAGGTTTGAGAGTTTTTGACAAGGACGGCAACGGTACTGTAATGGGGGCTGAAATCAGACACGTTTTGGACAACATTAGGTATGTTAGTAACACAACTATTAAACAAGATGTTTATTCTATTCAAGAATTTTTGCTAACCATGAATATGTTCCACCCAGGTGAAAAACTAACATCCGCCCAAGTATCCGCCATGATGCAAGGACAGGAAGAATCTAATGGATCTATTAATTACGCAGGTTAGTTTAGGCTTTACAGATTTGTATATAAATATGATACTTAATTTACAATAATAAATATAAACCATCTAAACTTTTCAAATTGTATTTAAATACACCCAAAATATGTTTGATCAGTTAAAAAACGTTGGAAATTTTAACTGATTTCAAATATTTACTTGAAGAATCACAAAACTCATTCACAAGCTTTTGTATAATATGAATCATTATAATACAAATAAGCTGAACTCAGTCCATAATTCTAATTTCATGACATCACTTTCGCTTTAAATAACGTAAATTGAAAATATATTGTATTAGGTTTCATGTTCTTTAATTCAGAACAATGACTGACAAATGATATTAAATTTTTTTCAGTGTTTTGCAAGTTCCTCCTTGAAGAACCGAAAGCAGCAATCTAACCATTTTTCTTCAAATGGTGCGGACTGTAGTAACATTTTGAAATCGTTTTCACTCACTTATTTGATCATCAAACTTCAAATTTTATTCATATCAATATCATGCTTTTGGAATAAATTGTAATTTTACTGCATCACGTGCCATCATGATCGACTACTTGGGGGTACCATACACCTATTTATTGAACGTCAGATAGGATATTGCCAAGCTGCAAGTCTCAACAGAAAATATTTGGGGCTCCCGAAGTATGCGAACCAAGATGGCGGACATCGGAATGTAATATGTGTACTAGGTTAGGGTTAGGCCATAATTTTAGGCAGTGGCGGCGCGTGGTCATTTTGACAACCGGGGCAAGCTACTGCGGGACCACGTCACCCCCATCTACGGGGACAGGATGAGCGCTGTAAGTTCTCCCATCATTTTATGAGTATAAAAACCATTCCATCGGTAACAACCAATCGGCAAAAGCGACAATTTTTAACGATAAGAAAGTGTCTTTAAAACCGGTCCAAGTCAAGGGATTAATAAATATAGACATAGTTTATTTTGAAACCTCTTTCAAAAGGAAAGGCAATATTTACCGAGATAAATACAATGACATATTAACAGAAACTTCGGGAAAGCAGACAAAACCTAAAATAAGGTTTAAAACGTTACTATGAAGAAAGGAAAGTTAATGCAAAGATAAGGACATGCGTCGCTCACTCATAGATATATATGCTGCTAGACTTCTACTGCTTGAACATATATGCAACACGCCGCGGTTTCTTGGAAGCAAAATGCTCAATAACGCGCTGATTAAAGTCATGCATCCCAGATATAACGTCTCTGTGAATGGATAAAACAGCCAAGGAATTTAATCTATCTTGCTTCATTGTGTTTCTGAGATACGTTTTAACACGCGTCAGCGTGCTGAATGTTCGCTCTGCGTCGGCGGAAGAAATAGGCGTCGTCAAAATGATGTCCAGAAATTTTGCAGACGCCGCAAAGGTAGTTACTAGAGTGTTATCTATGAGGAACCCATAGAGCGCGCAAGTTGATGTGATGTTTAAAAAAGTTTGATTGGTGTATATACATCGCAATTCATTTTCCAATTTACCCTCGTTTATCATGGGGTAAAATTTGGAGACAGTAGCCAACAAATGGATGGGAAATTGACGTGCAAATTTTGAAAAATTTTTGGGGTTCATCAAAGAGAACGCGGCAAGGTGTTCAGTGCACAGACGATCGCCTATTCGATTCACCAGAATGTCACAGCATTCCTTTGCAGACAAAATCACACGCTGCGTTGTTTGCCCGCGACGTAAAGAAGCATTCCATGTGTCGTCGTATTTTATTGTTTCCCGGATACGAGATACAGCATCGCAGAAGTCTGAAATACACGACTGCACAGACGCTCCATCCATTAGCCTTGACTGCAATGCGCCGTATAATACATCCACGTGATAGAATATTGTGGAGAAAAAAGCGAGAAAAAATGAAAACTCACCATCTTCTAGCAGACGCTTTAGACCTGCCGCCTCCCTCACAGAGCGTTCGTCCTAAACCGGAGAGCTCTGAATGCCATTGAAACACTCAATGAGCTCAGACCTACTTCCGGACACGCCCTGCACCACGCGTGATTGGAAGTTCCAACGTGTTGGTGCACAAGCTGGGAGACGGCGGCTACATATCTGGCGAAGGAGGTCAGAGCGCTTCGGCGAAACGGAAAAAAATGAAGAAAACCCCGAAACATTTGCAAAAAATATACGGACGAGAGGGGTATCAAGACATATATTTTTAATAACGAGGTTAAATTGGTGTGCATAACAATGTAAAAAATGCGCATGAGGAAAATCTTCTTTTATATAAACTTGAAACAGTCAAATCAAAATCAAGCCTCGGTACCGGCTTTTCACGTCGGTATCGATAAGGCGGTAATATAGCAGATGAGTGGAAAGTGCTGTCTTTCTCAGAGGATGGCAGTTTGATCTAACGTCACTGCAGTGCCACGAGGGGATGCAATGATAGTAGAAATAGCGAAATTTTGGTTTAAACACCGATTTTCTTAGTAAAAAAAGCTTTTTAACGGGTTTCTACTTTCATACGTACTAAAAAAAAATAAGAAAACGATTTTCGGCAGTGTGGCGGCGCATCATGCAAAGCGCAAGGAATACGCTCACCATCGCACCTCTGAGTACCCTACAGATTGAAGTGTCGTGGGCTAATTACGTGCGAGATGATTGCTGGACTTCTCGCCTCCGCAGGGTGGTTCACGAAACCGCTGGTCGATTGCCGCTACCTCCGCCATCAAATCCCATCTAATTATTTCGTAGAAAAGCTAATTAAAATTTCACCCCAACAACTTAGCATAACGATCTTTATGTACACTCCGTTTCAAATAACTATTTCACTAGAAAAGATGTATTTTGAAGACACGGAAATAATTGGACACGAAAGGGACATGCAGATCGTTTATTTTAAGCTGTCGCTAAAATAGTTGTTGTTGTAAAAAAATCGCTTTTTTCTTTAACTACTCGACCACTTGCTTTGAAATTTTCACTGGTTAGAGATTGTATTTTTCGCTAGAAGGCTATTATTATTTATTTATTCAAAATTTCCGGTGGGCTTTATGGGATTCGTTTTTTGTGAGCGATGACGTCATCAAAATTTGCGCACCTTGTGGCGTTCGAACGTCGGTGGATCTCGTACTTAGCGAATGAGGGAAGTTTTTATGGGGAACGGTAGACTGCGGTATCTGATCTGGTAATACAGAAGTTAAATCTTCACAGGACCTGGAAAAGCTAGGACAGTCCCTGTACTGTTACAGGTACCGGTAAGTCACTGCATAATATTCCTGGGAATTGATGATGAAATATTTCGTTTTGCTCTCCGTGTCCACATGTTTGAGCATAGTTCTCTTGTTTTCATAAACAGTTGTTTTGATTTCATTTTATTAATACGAATCGAAGACACCATAATTGCGATGATTGAAAGGAACAAAATATAAACAACAAGGTATGAAAAATAGAAATAATAAAAATATATCATAACATCATATTTCCTAAAGCATCCTGATTCCGGCATACGTAAAGATAGCAAATAACAGAATAAAGAATAGATTTAATTAAGATGAAAGTATCAGAAAGCTTATTCGCGTAAAAGAAAAGATGCAAAAATAACTGCGCATATTGAAAAATGGCTTCCCCTTTTATAAAGTATTGTTTGTCGTTTGTTTGAGTGTAAGTACTCCAATGTCTCCTTCTGCTCTGTTACTATCTTTTTCAGCAACATAGGTAACAGCACAAAACACGGAACCACATTTTTCTTTATAAACATAAACTGATATTCTTCATTCTCTAATACACACTCTGAACAAAGTTGGGCTTGTGTGGAAAAGACATCCTGTTCAACCCAAAATAAGTGGCAACCCTCAATAGGTATTTAAGTGTATATATCCGCGTTCTACTCTCTTATGCGAAGTGGTATACAGTGCATGTAACACTAAATCAGTATTTGGCACTCAGCAATGGTATAGAAACGCTGCTCATTTAACATTTCTCGTACGTATTATCTTCGATTGTACTTCGAACCCATTTTTCATAAGTTGACATTGGAGCATAAATTCCCACGTGGCCCGGTGTTCCACAGTCTGCAAATCCAAATGATGTAACAGCAGCAAGATACCATCTTTTGTTCTTGGTACATACTAATGGACCTCCAGAATCTCCCTTTAAAATAATGCAATGTGATGCCAGTTAAATATATTCTAAGCAAAAATTTAATTATTGTTCCAAATTATCAGAAGGCATTTGTCTTCAACTAACGCTTCGTAATTGAATATATGCGTTCTTATCGTAATTGGTAAATTAAATTTCATTCAAGTCAATTAATTATATTTACAAATTAAAGTGAATTACAAAATACAAAATAATACGTGGAAGATCAGAAGTAACTACAAAAGACAGAAATGTCATGATGTCAGCAACGCCATGAAATATGTACAACAAAGAAAAACAAAAATGGAAAAATATCAAAAAACGTTCGTTCATATGCAAATACTACATACACCTAGCGAATGAGCGGCTAGCGTACATTCTCCCTGTCATGGGATAACAGAGTATATATATTAGCGTACTCATTTGATAATAGCCAAAACCTACGAAGATGCTAAATTTGATAAATTAAAGAACTAAATTTATAGACTGGACTTAAATGTGCAATACCCATTGCCAAAAAGTTGAAAATAAGATAGAAAGAAAATTACCGTGCACGAATCCGAAGATGCTGTAACGGGATTTCCAGCACACATGTGCATTGATGAATCTAAGAAATATCTGTAATAATCCCCCAACGTACGACATCTTGAAAACTGCATGATTGGTACAGAAGCTTCGCGTAAACTTAGCGAAAGTAGAGCATCTGGTCCCGGGTCTGCAAACAAGGAAAAGTATTACAAGAAAATAACAATCGTGAAGAATTCAACACTAAATCTTTATACAAAAGTATTCTGAATGTTTGCATATTACAGACATATTGATTGTGCACACAAAAAAGAAAAGTTGGGGTACTATGATGAACCGGCGGTTCTAAACTTTTTCGTTGTGACGCTTTGGGAAGGTTTTCTGGACATGCGGTGCACCAGTGAAATATATTTGGAATCTATAACATAACAGCTGTCAGTAAAGGTTCAATTTATTAATACAACATCAAAACGAAACAAATGTATATATTTTAATGTGATGTGTCGGCTTACTTATTTTTGCAAAAGTAATCTCGGAAAAATTTTCTTAAACCGGTACCCGTATTTCTCTTTCAGCATTTATTAGTGATCTATTTTTGGTTTTATGTCGGCTTCAGCAGAAAAATCCTGTTTCGCAAGCATAGGGCGTAGCCAATGGGATAATAATATCATTCTATTTCTTAGTGCGGAATAAGGAAACAGCTTTGGAAACGTCTTTGCAAACGGTAATCAATCGCGAAAAGAGTGTTAACATGTTTAAATTTAGATTATTTGGTATATATACTTGAAAACAGGAAAAAGTAATATACAAGTTACAAATATACATTCTATAATTTGTTGCAACATACAATATATATATGAAACTTACTTGTATAGCCCCATCCTGTTACAAAACATTTTTCGCCAACAAC